AGCAGCAGCCGCAGACATGCTACCTTTCGTCCACCCCCGTCTCCTCAAGTGCTGCTATGCAGTCCCATTTGTAATGCCAGGTCTTGAGATGGCGCGATTGGAACCTCAAGAAGGATTGCAGATTTTGCTGAAACAGCTGCATCAGCATGTGGTGAGCACCCTTTGATTTCTCCAAGTGTATTCCAACCAGTTGAGAAGTTGTGATCCGATTGTCCGTTTAACTGGCTGTGACATGAAGGCTACGGTTTTTCGCTCAGAATTGGCTGCAGAGTTCTCAGGAGCTGAACAGGGAACTTTTTCAGCTTTGCAAGTGGAGGCCGTCACATTTTGAATTGCACCAAGTAGAGTCTAGTAGGGGGGTTGCTTCTTAGGTCCTATCAAGCATTTGAGGATGATTCGGAGTGTGGATGACAAATATTGGAAAGCATGCCTTAAATTTGTGTGTGATGGTTCGGGTGGTCGGCGCAACTCTGTAAACTTGCCGGCTTGTAGAGGGTGTGTTTGTGAGTCCTGCCAGGCAGATCAATTCATCACGAAAGCTAGCCTTAGCTAGCTGAAGTTGCTCTTGCTTTAGCAAGTAAAATGACGGGGTGCCGGGTGGACGCGCTTCAGAAACCTCAAATAATTGATTAAATCAATCTTATGGACCCCCCCCTCCTCCGGAGGTTCAACTCCCCCCTGCACGCGGTGAGCAGGTGGAAACAAATTAGCTGCTGCTGCCTGGTGTGCTCGTTTCCTCCTGCTGCTGGGTGGTATGCTGCTGCTGCTGCGGGGTGGGCTGCTGCTGCTGTGGCTGCTACTCGGTGGGCGGTTCATTCCCTCCGGCTATGCACTGTGGGAGCACTTGGACTCCACGTGCGGTCTAAAGCAGTTTTGTCAATCTTTGAGTGCCGATAGTCCGAGTGCACAAGGGAACTAGTGGTGTACGAGGGGTAAGGCCATGATGCAAGAAATGCCGCCTGCACACATTGCACCCAAAAAGGTGTTAATTTAAACCCCTTTTTCGTACCAATTTTGGCCCAGCATTTGCAACACTATGGCCTCACGTGCTCGCCTGCTGGTCTGCTGCTGCTGCTGCTGCTGCTGCTGGCACTGGGTGGTCTGCTGCTGCTGCTGGCGCTGGGTGGTCTGCTGCTGCTGCTGCTGCCTGCTGCTGCTGCTGCTGCTGCGCTGGGTGGTCTGCTGGCGCTGGGTGGTTTGCTGCTGCTGCGGCGCTGGGTGGTCTGCTGCTGCTGCTCTGGGTCTGCTGCTTCTGCTGCTGCTGTTCCTTTGTGGTTTGCTGCAGCTGCTTGGTGGTAGACTGCAGATGCTTGGTGGTTTGCTGCAGCTGCTTGGTGGTTTGCTGCTGCTGCAGCTGCTTGGTGGTCCGTTGCTGCTGCTGCTGCTTGGTGGTTTGTTGCTTGGTTGTCTGCGCAGCCACACCCTAGCATGCGCACGCCTCCCCGCCCGGCTAGCTTTCGTTCACCCCCTCTGGCCTCAAGTTCTAGTCCCGTTGGAGCAACTCATAGTTTAATCACCAAACTTTTTCCTGGCTTTCAGCCTCCTGGTAAAGAGAGAAGGATGTAGGCCGGCAATGTAGCTGCCAACGCAGGTCAGTCTCGACCATCCCCTGCTTTCTCTTGGATCACCAAGCACAAGCTTCGCGTCGTGTAAACCTGAAACGATTTTTCCCCAAGCATTCAATGCAAGTATTGAAGCCCGTGGTCGCCTTTGTTTCTTTGTTTTCCATGTTCACGACGATTCCTTCTTAGTCCTGTTTTGTTTGTTTGCCAACGTTCATGCTACGATCGCAGTCGGACGCCCCTGTATCAGGTCCAACTGCCTCATTGGTTGACCTCTGATGCATTCTGCCAGGCCCAGTGCCTTACATGGAACAAGGATGAACAAGGGTCATCTCAGTATTCCCACGCAAACTTGCTAACTTGAAAGGCAGAAACGGGGACTGTCGGAGTTCTTGGAGAATTCTTTGACATTGAAAAGGATGGTTCCTGTTTGTAGCTCCTAGCACAAGGTCAATTCAGTCGACCAACGAACCCCCTCTTCACTCCAAGTATTTGCTGCCCTGATCGCAACTTGACAGCGCCTGGTCTCAGCTGCGCACCATCTTGATGCAAGCTTGTCTTTTTCTGAGAGTGCGGATTTGCCTGATTTCGTGAACTTCAAATGTTTAGTCTTGGATTGTCCAAGCAGTTTCAGCTGTCCTATCGCTTGAAAGAGAATGCAAAGACCCGATGTCATTTGTATGCGCAAGATGTTTGCTAGTATCTTTGCACCTTTTTCAATAGCAAGAGCGCAAACTCTGCGAGCCTGTCCAGAGCCACATGACAGGCGCCGCAACCAGCATCTTCTGGGCTCGACAACGGTTCCAGCATCATCGAGGTGTGCTAAGCGTGCTGAGCAAGTAGGATAACCTGCCAAGATGGAATGTGTGAGCTTCCTGGCTTTGCCTTTTGTGAGCTGCAAGAGTATGGTGTCCTTGGCCGAAGACCAATCTTTCCACCAGCTCTTGTTCAGATCACCAAGGGCCACTCGATTCATTGCATATTTTTGGCAGGACCACGGAGACGATGATATTGTTCCGAGCCCGCCAGGATGGTTCAAGCAGTGTAGAATCTTGGTGTGAGGTGTTTAGATCAACTGGGCATTTTGCGGCTTCATTGATGGCTCCAGATAAAGCGTCAATAGCTTTGACACAACTGGAAATTCAAGAATTACACCGGCATAGACCCCAGATAGTGGATGAATAGGGAAAAAGATTGAAAAAGCTCATAGTGCCTGAAGGAAAACATCTCAATGTCTAATAGCTTTCGTTGTCAATGAGTGGTGCCAAGGGCATTGTTCACCTTGCCTCATGTCATGCCAGGGGTGACATCTGTCAGGGCAGGGACGATATCCACCCCTATGGTGCCTCACACATTGATGCATATATTGCCTTGTGGTGTGCATCCTTCCCTTTGTGGTGACATGGTGTCATGCCAGGGACAACATCATGTCATACCAGGGCATAGCACCAGCAGCAGCATGCCCACACAAAACGACGATCAGCAGCAGCAGCAGCGCCAGCGCCCGCACCCGCACACCCACACCAGAACTGCACTGCACCAGCACGATTCAAACAAAACGCCGATCCAGCACCAGCACCAGCACCGGCAATTTGAAACTTCGACCCAGAGCCACGCCATTCAATTCAGAAGTAAGAGCCCCTAAATAGCTGGCAGCTAGTCTTGCAGCTATTTGGAGGAAAAGTGAAGTTTGTGGGCCCAATACTAGAGACTTGGAATTACACCGGCATAGGTCCCAGATAGCGGGTGTATACGGTGTATAGGTTTAAAGGACACGCCACCGCACTCAACATCAGACCAGTCCACCAATATGCGCAACATCTATCAGCTGAATGCCACGCTTTAGCCAATACTGCAAGATCGGCAAGGACCAGCCAAAGCTGCCCAGACGACATTATGATCATGTCACCCCTGGCATGACATGATGTCATCCCTGGCATGACATGATGTCGCCCCTGCCATGCCATGATGTCACGGCAGCATGACCCGCAAAATGAAAACGCCGATCCAGAGCCAGCACCTGCACTACACCAGCGTGGCCAAACAAACGCCGATCCAGCACCAGCACCAGCACGGGCAAAACGAAACGCCGACCCAGCACCAGCACGGGCAAACCGAAACCTCGAGCCAGCACCTACACCAGCACCAACACGGGCAGAATGAAACGCCGATCCAGAGCCAGCACGTGCACTAGCACCAGCATGGCCAAACAAACGCCGATACAGAGCCAGACCATTGAGAAGTAAGAACTAAGAACCCTTATAACTTATAGCTATCTGAGGTAAAATTGCAATGTTTGCATGTCTTTGCCGGAACTGTTGCATCAAGATGTGATGAGCACCCTGTTGCTTGTTGGAAACCAGCCGATTAAAGCGACCCATTTGAGCTGATTGGTTTTGACAGGAGCTGAACAGGGAGCTTTGTCAGCTTTGCAAGTGGAGGCCGTCACACCCTGAATCGCTCATGAAGTTGTCGCCTCACGTTCGGAAACCCTTGGAGACAGGTTTTGAAGGCTTCGATTGATGACAACACCTTCATGTTGATTCAAAGTTACGGCGTATTATATACTGAGACACTGGCGGAAAAAAAATAACTGTTTTTGAACGTTTACGCGAGCTCCACTTATGCAAGGGGCATGGAGCATGTCTCCAGGATAGCGGGTGAAGAGAAAGATGAGTGCCACCATGTCCTTTCAAAATCCAGCAAACAGTTCACGCAGCGTTTCAAGACACAAAACTCCGCATTTCAGTCACAGGAGGATCAGGCCTGGAAGCATCATAGAAGGTGTTCAGCATGCTATCAATGTAGAACGGGCCGACGTCAAACCACAATTGCAAAGATGGTGGGAGCTGATCCATCCCTGTCCAGCGCCCCAACTTCAATATAAACATTGAACATGAACAAAAGGCCAAAAGCAGGAAAAATTGAAAATGAAAGATTCAGCCCAACTACCTGCTTGAACAAAACAGAGACTCCTTGGTACATGCAAGCGAAACGCGCAGTATCCTGCAACGTCATAACGTCGTGCACTTGGTAGTGAGATACATTAACCACTCCCCCGTAACCCGCTCCACCCCCGAACCCGAACAACATCAGATTCTGCGCAAAGAAATGCATGAACACAAGAAACAGTGGCCATGCAACCTGAGTTGGTAGATGTTGGCAATGATGAATCAGCAGCAAAACTAGCCCTGCTGCAGAGCTGCAAAGGTTGAGTGGCTGAGAGCACATCAAATCCGTTTAAAACAACAAGCAGCTACAAAACCTTTTCTTCATGGCATAGCATACCCTTGCCCGTACTTCATCCTGATGCGTCCCCGTGGTTTTTCTTCGTGGTTTTTCCTGAGTCCTTTACTTGTATACAACCCGGAGATGACACAGGAGTAGTGACATGCAGAAATGAGTTTGCCTATCTCATGTGTCCGCAGCTGCAACCTGAACGGTTCTGAACCAAAGAACCGTGCATCTCATGTGTCCACAGCACATGAAGGCAGATTTGGCAACTTCGTGAGAAGCTAATCTGAACCTTTGAGCAATGAGTTAGGTCCACAAAAGTTGTTAAATAACACTGTTTCATGTGCTCGATCCGTTGTTTGGCTGTTCCTGAATCCTACCTCATTTGCTTGTCGTACATTTTGCAATTTCCATAATTTTATAGCTCATCTTCCCCTTGCATAACGGCTTTCCGCATTGATTCCTGAATGCTCAGAAACGGTAATTTGCCTGGCTGCAGCTTTAGTGGTGTTCTTTGCTTATGTGCCAAGTGCCAAGAGAGTTTCGCAGGTAAGGGGTACGTAAGCAATAATATAGAAAAGGACAAGCCAAAGCCTTGGTCAGTAAATGTCAAGGATTACAAGGACACGGCCGAAAGCCTTTGAACACCTCTCAATTGCAATGATCACGAAAACACACACCTAGTAGCCAGCTGAAGTTGACTTTGTTCGACTAATTATTTCTATTTAGTATCAACCGTTTTGGCGGTTTCTTGCTCGGACTAACTCCTCGGAGTTCCATTCCACATTGGGTTGGATTGGATGTGATTGGATTCCACACAGACGGACTAGGCCACATGAACTGATGGGCACGCTAAAAGAATCGCGATTGGGTGTTTTTGGCTCATGGTTTTCAGGATAGACTACCCTGCTACCGCTCAAAAGGCCCGTTGCTCCTCACAAGCAAAAGTCGCGCAAATTGTGTCTCAAAGGTCCCAACAAGTTGATGACATATTGCTGCACAAAGAGCCATGTACCCAAATGAGTCCTTCAACGAAAAAGAAAAATGTGAAGATCACAAAACTCAAACTACACAGTCCGGATTTTCGCATGCCTTTGGCACACCATGCCGGAGGTATTTTGCCTCCAGAGTGACAAAGCAGCCTCAAGCAAAATCCCAATTGTAGAGATAACTGTTGAACTTGGAAACAACATGAGAAGCTTGCGAGATACTTCTTTGCAAGATTGCCAACAGATTGAGAGGCCTGAATGCCACATCACCAAGGCCTCAGCCACGTTCAACACCTTCCCAATCTTTTGTTGCTAAGGGCATGTGCTTTGATTGCCCAGGTTGTTTTCTAATACATATGTTTGTTTTCTGCGTGGAAGGCACACCGAAACAAGTATTCAAATAAACAATCCTGAATGAGCCTGTGCTTGTGACTTGAGGCCACTGTTTGGGCCACTGTTTGGAAAGCGCTCTACTCATCGATCATGGTTTGACTTTGATAGATTAGTGCGCGGACAACTTGCAGGAAGGGAATGGCACCGCTCCGCGAGGCTCAGGAAGAATGCCTGCTTGGGTGAGATTCAACCCATCTTGGCCATAGGTTCACCATGGTACACATCCAATTGAAAAATGTACCATGGTTACAGCGTCTCGCCTTTGCAGGCTGTTGGTTCGTGGTTTCCCTTTGGGATCCACAATGAGTTTCCTTCTGACTTAGATTTTGCAGCATTTTAGGGTGTTGTGGTCGGCCAGTGAAGGGTTGTTGACATCCCGATGTTCTTGGTCAGAGGAGCTCAGGGCTCAGCTTGGTCAAATTTGCCATTGGAGGCGCAGCTTGTGCCCGCAGATTGGAGGGACCCACAAAGCGGGAGAACATCCGAGGGGTTTGGAGAGCTTTGCTATACTTACTATGCTCCCAAACAGGCACATCGACCATGCTTTGTGGAAGGTCGCAATGTTTGCCGATTGAAGCAGGATTGTGGCAGATGTTTTCTTCTTTTCAGTTAGCCATCCAAAAGCAATCAAGCAACCATCCCACAGATCGAGATTTGATGAGATTTGTGTTACCAAAGAATTGACAGGCTCACGTGCTACTTTTCTTTCGAACGCTTGCTCAAAGATTCAGAAGCCCCGCAAGCCACATGACACGGGCCTGAGTGGAGAACAAGTTGGATTGTGGGGGTCAGGCAGATTGATTGATGGGATGACCAACTCATCGTCGAATGCCAGGGTCGTCACCACTGTGGGCATCCTAGATTGTTGGGCTGCATGGAAACCGATTGAGGCTGACGTGTCTAGTTGAATGGGAGTTTCTAAAGCACTTCCGAACGCAATGTTTCCTACTTGTTCTATACAACTTCCTGATGAGGTTCCCTTGTTTGAGGAAAACCATGCTTTTCACAGCTGAGGTCTCACACAACCTCAAACTGCCGATGACCAGAAGCGCTAAGAAATTGCTCGCATGGCAGCTTCGCATGGCTTCGCAACTACGGAACAAACAGTTCGTTCAGGAAACAGCTGCCAACCAACTTCCATTCATAAAACCTAGACCTAAACAAAGACATCATGAAAAAGCACTGATTGCAGAAACACTGCATATCACTAGACCACCTTGCGGTCCAATACTACCCAAGACCACCTTTTACAAGTCCGAAGGGTGCCATTACAGTAGATGTTCCCTCCACAAATACCGTATCACTTCCAGGGACGGTTTTGATAGTTGACTTGGGCAACTCAGCTCCGTTCGCTCATTTCTTGTCCATCCATGGATTGAGATTGTCCAATTGTCCATTGTCTCATTGGCAGGACCATCAAGACGATGGCGCTGCTCCCAGACCGCGAAGACGGTCAGCAGGAGAGCCTTCGAAGATGCTCTCGAACTGTGGTGTGAAGTGTATCGAGATCTTGTCCTTTTATGGTTTCATTCTTCCAGACAAAGGGCCCAAAGCATGGGCGCATGCAATGGTCCTGCCAATTGGATCGCTTTGATACAACTTCGGTGGCTCTCAATAAGACAGGATCGCAACCTGAAGGGGGATAGCCGGTTTTGCCACTCCAGCAAGATGTAACAGAAAGGTCAGTGACAGAATGTGGAGTTTATGTGAATTCATTGGCCGCACATGGCTCTATTACCGAAGAAGTGGTCGCATTAGAATCCATTCAAAATTCAGCATTCCTGATTCCTGGTAGAACTCCCGAGGAGCTGAGGGAGCTTCTTCCCATTTGCAACCTGTGGAGGCCGTCGATATCAAAAGCCATGAAGGTGCATGACACCTTGAACACATATTTTAAACCATTGGAGCATGTGAACCTCTATGTGTGTTTTCCGCTTTTGATTGCAGTGCCAAACCTTGACATAATTGTCGGATTTGCACGTTTATCAACCGATAACTCCTGCAGATGCTTGATGACTCAACTCCGAACCCGCATCGCTCAACGGAAGATAGGCGTTCGAAGCTCTCTCGTCACACAAAGTACGATCACTTACTGGAAGTTGCCAAGATTTCCGGTGATTTCGGATGATTTCGGGCAACGCAGTCAGACGTCTCTCCAAACTAGTCAGGCGGCTCTCCAAACAGACCAGCCACTGCAATGCCCATGTTGTTTTGTTGGAAGATGTGCAGCGCCTTTGGCTGAGAGGCGCTTGAGTCCGCGCCGCCACTGGAGAGCATGGCTGGCATGATCCCCAAGGTGTCAATGCGCCTTCACGGCCGTTGCATTCCACTCCTGTGTGTGATTGGTGTACCCCATAGCCTTGGACCAGTCACAAACTCATGTTGTAAAGAAACATGCTGTTCAGGAGAATTTGGATGAGGACTATTTGTTTCAAGATCGTTGAGGTACATGTTTTAAGTATGGCATTGTGGCCTGGCCTTCCCCAGACTTTCGCATCAAGTAATTGTCATTTCATCTTGCAAAGCCACATGTCCAATTTATAAGCAGTTCTGGTTGGTTATCGCAAAATCCACAACCGTATGTGCAGCTAATGGTGTATTGATTGGTGTTCTTTTAGCGGAAGATGCAAATAGTCCAGCAGGATGGCCGCCAAGGAAGTGCGTACCTTAGATTGCTGGTCTTCACGGTGCATATCGAAGTTTGACAGTCTTTCTGGCGATCTTCCAGCCATTTTAGGCTTCTTGCAACCGAGGTCCGAGGGGGCTTCAGATCGCTGCCGCTTATGGCCAGGAGCGCGGTGCAAGCATCAGAAACCGATCGAACCATGTCTTGTTGGAGCTCGTGAGGAGCGACAAACTTGGCGGAACGGCTTCCTTTGTTGCCCATGTGCTCGGTTGGACACTAAATGACTCCATTTCGGCAGCACTGGACACTTGCATTTTAGAAGCAAACGACGTTCATCTGCGTATTGCAGTATGGAATCAACAATTCCTCGTGGAGCTAGCGGCTAGCACAAAAGTGCTTCAAATGAAAAGGCATCCCCTGAATACCAAAACTATGAGGAAGACAAGACCACTTGGTGGTCCAGTACTGCCGAATGAATGCTGTTATGACCAGATGCTCCTGCAAAGTCATCGAGCACTGGTTTCCTTTCCAGACAACCGTTGAGAAGTTGAGCGCCCTTCACTCTGACGCTCGTCATCATTGCACCACAGCAACGTGTTTTACATTCATTGCGGATTTCTTGAAGGCCCACTGTGTCCCTGCGACTGCAATTGTTTGTTGCGGGTGATTGGAGCGGAGGGTCCTCCATGGGAGTCCTTTGATACCTCGAGGCCTTTGATTGATGTTAATTACACAGCTCGAGCGCCGCATCAGTATATGTTTCACCTTCAGCAGAACTGACTTTGCTCTCAAATGCCTCGGGCAGTGACAACCAGGCGGCACCTCGTGAGAAAAGTGGAGAACAGCGCTCCGTTGGAGAGATGTGTCATATATATATATATATACACACGTTTTCTTGGTTTGTGATAAGGCTCTGGTTCGGTTCACATGAGCAAGATTCACAAGTGCCCTCACAAAATAATCGGTTATGCGGCTATACTTGTTTATTGTGAAATGCCAAGTTTGTCCCTTATCAGGTATGACTTTCGTACTTTAACGAAGGCCCATTGCATAAGGCACGGGAGATGTTACATTTGGAAGACATCCCTGAGGTTACTGACTGGGGGGAAGTCTTTGTTGTGAAGTCAACATGATTTCGGAGAAGAGCTCGAGTTTTGGGAATGGCATGTGTTGGCAAGTTTGGGAGACTTGGAAGAGGAAGAGCGCCCTGTTCAGGGACAGCATCCAAAGATCGTATTGCCTAATTAAGCACGCGTTCTTTTTCCTGAAGGTCACCAGATGGGAAGCCAAGGGGAGCAGAAACATGCAATTCTCAAAGTTGTCAGAAGCTGTATTTTCCACAGTGCGCCCAACTTGGGACCCCCAAGTTTTGAACTCAACTAATAAACGCGTCTCTTTGGTATCCAAGCTTTAGGTCCTTCATCCCTCCACAGATGGCATTATAAACCGTCCCGGAACACTCTTAGAACTCGAAATCGCCCACGCGCAACTGAGTGAAATTCACCTCTTCTGCACCTGCTGACGGAGTCCAATCCTCATGGTGGAGGCTTGTGATCACCGCAGCGATGCCACCCTTCTTGCTGGAGTAACGGTCTCACCGAGGGGCTTGTCGCCCCTGATAGGCCTTATGAAAGGGTCGATCTGAGAGGCCTGCACTTGCTCCATGAATGATGTCCAGCTCCGGGCATCTCCAATCGTGAGTGCGCGTCCCAAAGACGCAACAATGGCCTCTAGCCCCAACGGTTCTGGTCACCCATCTTCATTTGCTGAGCGGGGAGCTGTGGCCATGTGCAGGCCTCCACGTGTCGTCATTCGGCATCCTCCATTCAGGCCACAACCACTTGAAACAAAGACAACGGTGCTAGGCCATTGTGTTGGTTCAAACTGGCTTCCCTCCTCACACAAAATGATGCGCCTGCACCACAAGGAAAAACTCCGAGCCTTTTCTAAGGGCCAAGCTCGATTCGGGTCCCCTGCACTGTTCCACAGTGTCCTGACGACCGCTACTCGACCTGTAAACATAGCAGCAGCGTATGAACATGATCCAGCATGCCTGACAAGTGCTTTTCACACTCCTCTCAAATCTTTTATGTGGCAATGCTGGGATCATTCGCCACCACGCACCATGGATCATCAACCACGCTAGCCAAAATTCTGGGACTTGGCCTTTGCCTTTGACACTCTTCGGCTCTTCCTTCACATCGGACCCTTCGGTGTCCGAGACGATGTCAAACTTCTCAGCCAGTCCGCTGAGTTCCATGATCATGCCTCGATCAGCGCCGTAGTCTTTCAACATGGTCTGCAAAAATCTTTGCTTGAGAAGCCTCATGGCTCAACTCCGCAATGGTGGCATGAAACTCAGGATCGTCAGGCACATACACTTGTGGAGTCATTTGCTTCATGTGATCGGAAGGCTGTCCCTCCTTCTTCACATTCATGGTGTCTTGCTCCAAGAACAAGGATCGCACTCCATCCTTATGATTTGATGAAATGCCTCACCCCAATGCTCATGGCCTTTCGTCAAAGGCACCGGCTGCCACTCCTGAAGCACCACCTTGATCACATCCTCAATGTGGTCGATGAACGCTGCACCCTCGTTGATGGCCATCATGCCAGTTGACTTAGAGAAAGTAAAAGTAGCTGCCGCCGTCTCACCATGAAATCGATGGGCATCGATGAACGACAATGGAATGCAAATCTTGCATGTTGCTCTTGATTGACTGACATTCTTCAGAAAATCCTCCGAATTGCCTGATGATTTCCATCAGCCCACGGACCTCCTTCTCCGTCAATCCTGAGGTGTTCACCTTCACCATGACCGTGTCGTCTAAAGTGAGCTGTGATCTCACCAAAAGAACGCTTGAGCCCTGTTCACCTGCCGTGACACGGTCCTTTCTGATCCTCTTTTCTTCAGCAGTAAGTTCCATGTTCGTGCTTTCAGAACTCATTTGATAGACAGTTAGACATGGCTCCTCTAAGATTGTCCATTGCGTCTGCGGTTTCCTTTGTCAACGCGTCTGCTAGTTGAAGCCAAGTTGGGACCCACCTAATACGACCTCGAATCATTGTCAACAGATCTCTATAAGGATCACCAAATCAATGGCCACACGTTTGTCCGAAACACTGCTGGGTGATGCAAAAGTTTGGAGGTGGTCAAGAATTGATTTGCAATCCGTCACTGCTTGGATTCCCAACTCTTGCAAAAACTGTGCACGATCTTTGAGCACTAAAAATGCTTTGCTTCCATAATCATGCAAACTAGCCACTGTGCATGTCCCAATGCGTCTGACAAAACTTGTGTTTCACCTGCGAAAGTGCTGCCCACGACACGCTTCGACCAGCTTTTCCAGGTCGCTGGTGACCAGGGGGCAGTGCCCTGTTCAAGCTCTGCTGTCGTGACACTGATGTACCCGGCCCGTGTTCCACACCGTTTCGCATTCCCAAAGGCCGCATCACTGTGCATCACTAAGGCCGCAGATCTGCAAAATTGGTAGAATCTTCCAGGTGGAATTTCTGTACTGTTTAGCCGTTCTGACAACGTTTCCTACTGTTCTTGCCTGTCCAAGAGTCGGTTTGGGAAGGAGTTGTTGCCCTTGACTGACTTGAACTGCTAAGTCAGGTCTCGTTTCTTTGGCTAGCCAAAGGGCCCCACCCAGGACTGACTTCAAAGACGAAGCCTTTGCACTTGTGACCTCAAAATGAGGGTTGGAGCTTTGGACGACTCAACTTATCGACAAAATCCGTCTGGCTCACCACAATGGTTTCATCCTGCTGTTGTGAGATGAAAGATCCACAAAACGTCCCT